AATCAGTTGGAACAATGCATGATTGAAGTTCAGTGGCCGCTCTGTATTGATTGGTTGGAAAGGAGGAGGAAGAAAAATCAAGTGGTAACTCCCTCTCTTGAGTAAGCTAGCTGGTTAGCCAAAATATATAACTCAAAACTGCCCCATATCCTTTGTGGGACACTTCCCCTCCCCCCTCCATACAGCAAGCATGAGGAGCTGTTTTTTCTTAGGAAGTCTTGCTGATGCTCATGTCTGCTAGGAATCCACTTCTCAATTTTTATGCTACACCTATTTAGAATTCTAAGAGTTTAGAACTGGTAGGGACTTGAAGGACCATTTAATTCAGTTCCCTTATTTTGCTGCAGAGAACAGTAAGGTTCAGAGAGAGTTATCCAGAATCATGCAGCTAGTTACTGAGAGGGTCGTGACTGGGCCACTAGCCCAGGTCTGTGTCTAAGTGTCCTCTGCCCTAAGAGTGAGAAGCTGCACCAACACCTTCTACATATATACAGGCATGTAAGTTCTTTGAAAAAGTCAGACACACAAGTATAAAACAAGTAACTTCCAACACAAGACACATATTGGCGGACCATGTTACCACTGGGGGAGGGAGCCAAGGAGACTGTGAGAACTGATACACAGGTTAGCAGAGACACTGTGGCAGCATCAAGGCTTCTTAGGAAAGACTTCTTGGTGTAAGAAAAAATAATTATTTTTAAGACGTTTTGTGTTTTATTTTTATTTTTAAAATATATTTTTATTGATTTTTTACAGAGAGGAAGAGAGAGGAATAGAGAGTTAGAAACATCAGTGAGAGAATCATCGGTCAGCTGCCTCTTGCACACCCCCTACTGGGGATGTGCCCGCAAGCAAGGTACATGCCCTTGACCAGAATCGAACCTGGGACCTTTCAGTCCACAGGCTGACGCTCTATCCACTGAGCCAAACCAGTTTCAGCATTTTGTGTGTATGTGTGTGTGTGTGTGTGTGTGTGTGTGTGTGTGTTTAAGTAATAGTATGCTCATTGTTACAAAAAAATAAAATACAGAAATCTTAATAGCAAGAAGTAAGTATGGCTTTCTCATTCCCCCCTTTCCTCCCCAATCAGAGGTAATCACTGTTGCCTGTATGGTCTGTAGCCTTCAAACTCCCTTGGATCTCAGAGATCGGAGCAGATTTGTTTTCCCCTTTGATTTGTTACTCTTCTGTGGAAGTCCTCAGCTCTTGGACTAAGAAATCCTTATTCTACTGTGGCCTTTACCAGGGAATTTGAGACCATTATCAATTCACAGGAAAATGTGAGGACTTATGTTCTAAGTTCTATGCATAACTTTCATATATCCTGTGTCCTTAAAATGGGTAGACACTAATTAGAAAATGATAATGATAATAGCAGAGGCTCTTGTATTTGTACATTGCTTTATTCATATCAAGTATTTTTATAGATTTTGTCTCATTGTCTCTTCATAGTACCCCTGTGTGAATATGGAGCAGGATTGGCAGTCTTCTCTGTTTTTCAACAGATGTGGAAACAAGATCAGAGTGCCAGGAGCTATTGTTGCTCAGTTGAGGGAACTAAGTGAGGATCAGAGAGGCTAAGTCAGTCATTCATCCCCAGCTACCCACCAGCAAGTGCCAGTCTTGCATTTGAACTGGGGTCTCTCCTGCTTATTTTCCTGCCCTGCTCAATCACTTGCAAGTTGTACAAGATTCAACTCTGGACTGCTAGTGTGGTCTCTTTATCTACTGTCTAGCTCATCCCCAATTAGTGTCACCCACCCCTGCCCTGCCAAGCAGGAGATCAAGTTCATTAGGGAAGGGCCTTCCACAGTGCAGAAAGGCCTGCAGTGCCCACCCCCACTCCCAGCCCCTGGACACAAACTGCTCTACCCTGAGTGGCAACCTGCATTAAGTATTCCACTCATCATCTCTGGGATGATGGAATCCTAACCTTTTCGGAGACACCGTGCTCTGTCACAGCATTGCTCTTTTTAAAAGAGATTAATTCACTTGCCGAATTTTGTCCATTGGTGAAAATCACAGGGGAGACCAAGGGTGACTTTCTTAGGCCTCAGAGGCCCTTTCCGCCACTCTCAGCAGCAGCCACCCGCCCAGCTGGCCCAGGACTTTGAAATAGCTGCCTGCTGGGCATTCACTTGCAAAGCAACAAAATGAAATGGAGGAGACCTGGGTTTAGGAAATCCAAGCTTTTGGGGCTACTACTGTACACACTGAGGGGAAGTAGGGGAGGGGCCAGAGGGCCCACCCGGCTCCTAAACTAGAAAAGTTGTTTGTGCTGAAACCGGTTTGGCTCAGTGGATAGAGCGTCGACCTGCGACTGAAAGGTCCCAGGTCCCCAGGTTCGATTCTGGTCAGGGGCATGTACCTTGGTTGCGGGCACATCCCCAGTAGGGGGTGTGCCAGAGGCAGCTGGTTGATGTTTCTCTCTCATCAATGTTTCTAGCTCTCTGTCCTTTTACTTCCTCTCTGCAAAAAAATCAATAAAATATATTTTATTTTTATTTTTTTTAAATATATTTTATTGATTTTTCACAGAGAGGAAGAGAGAGGAATAGTTAGAAACATCGATGAGAGAGAATCATCGATCAGCTGCCTCTTGCACACCCCCTACTGGGGATGTGCCCGCAACCAAGGTACATACCCTTGCCCGGAATCGAACCCGGGACCTTTCAGTCCGCAGGCCAATGCTCTATCCACTGAGCCAAACCGGTTCCGGCAATAAAATATATTTTTTTAAAAAAGAAAAGAAAAGTTGTTTGTACTTGGGCTAGTTTGTGGTGGTGTTTATGTTTGTTCTGGTCCTTCCTTATCTACCAGGTGCCATCATTCCTGTCTCTTTTGATCCTTACAACCACCTTGCACAATGGGGATTAATATCCCCCATTTCACAGCTAGTAAGTGACAAAGCCAGAATCTGAACTCCAGCTTTTAGACTTCAGGGTCATTGCTTTTTCTATTATATCTCAGCCCAAAGAGGCTGCAAAAAAATGATGCTCAGTAAGGAAGCTAGGCAGGGCTCAAAAGCTGGAACCCACTAAGCCAAACCAGCTAGGACTATTTTCTCTCTCTCTCTCTCTCTCTCTCTCTCTCTCTCTCTCTATATATATATATATATATATATATATATATATATATATATAAAGAGCCTAGTTGGTTTGGGTCCTGGAAAGCAAGAACCTCTGTATTGTTCCCTTGTCAGTAGTTAGCATATGCCTGGACACAGAGCATGTCAGTGCACATGCTTGTTGAATAAATTAACACAGGAGTGCCTAGAGCCAGCCTGGTTGAATTATCTGGGTGGTCCTATGTAACCCTATATCAGAGCCCCTGAGTATTGGCCAACTTGCCATTACTGGCTTGAGACCAGAACACCTTGTTCCCTCAGAGGGATAGAAGTAGAATAGGGTAGAAGGTAGAGATTACCTGTCATGAATACCTGCTATATGCCAGGCATTAGGCTGCAATCGCTGTAAATTAGAGTTTATCATCCCTAATTGATAGGTTAGAAAACTGAGACTCGGAGAATTGATTTGCTCAGGGTCATTCATATGGACCAGAATTTGAATTCTGATCTATAATAACTTACTCCAAAGCCTTCTCATCCTTTTTCTTTTTGTTACACTACACTCAGCCCTCAAGGGGCAGGAGGGGGTGGCATCTCAATCTTCTTTTTTTAGCTGTCTCCAGAGCAGTGCTGCTTTCAGAATTCTCTGAGCCCAGCCAGGCAGGAGAACACGGATCACTGGCCCACTGAAGGCATGAGGGATTCTGGCTGTGCTGTTTCTCCTAGCCCTGTCCTGCCTTCTCATGTCTGCCCTAGCTCATCTCTTTAGGTCTGTATTATAACACTCTCCAAACTGATCTACTTGTTCCCGTTTTCTACTCTTCCCTTTCAAATTTAGCTTGCTTAAGCTATTAGGTTAATTTTATAATTTATTTTACCCCAAAACCTTCAGTGACAACTAAACTGCCTATGATGAGAGTCTAAGAAATAGCAAATAGGTTTCCTCTCTGTTGCCAGCTTCAGTTGATTGATCATGGTTGATGGAACCAGTGTTAAGGAGGATTCGGAGGCTTTTTCAGAGGCCCCATAGGAAAGAACTGCTTGGAGACATTTGTGATTTCTGACTTAGATGCAGGAATGCAGGACAGTAGCACACATGCCAGGCATTTATCAACTCTTTAGAGTAGGTGTTTAACCTAGAGTCCACTATTTCATGAGGACCCATGAACCCCTGGATATTGTATGTAAAAAAGTTGTGTGTGTGTGGGGGGGGGACTTACAACCCTGTGTTAGTGGTATACTTACAACCCTGTGTTAGTTCATTTATCCGACATTACTATTGGATAACTATTGAGCCCTTACTACATGTTAGGCACTGGCATATAGAGTCAAGTAAGTTCTTGTGGACTTGCTAGAAACCTAAGTTAACATTTCCAGCATTATTTACATCTTTCCTTGGGTTAAACAATTTCCAAGTTTCAATTAACCACCATACAGAGAAACTTGAAGAGAGTGATCCTTTTGTAACATGGGAACTACTTAGATAAGAAATGTCCCTGGGCATTTGGTGCTAGGCACGGGGAAATTCTAAGGAAGGAAGAGATATCTGTGGACTGAATGAATCAAGGAAGCCTTCTCAGGGAGAGTCCTCGGCGTGTATCCCATGGCATGAAAGTGGGATTAGAACAGGCTTAGAGGCAGGGAGAGAGCATTCTGGACCAAGGAGTAGGAGTGTCAGGGTACTAAGGTAGGGAAGGCATTTTTTCCCCCTCAGAAGGCTGGGAGGATAACAAGGGGCAGACTCATTTAAGGGAAGAGAGAGAGAGGGGAAACCTGGAATTGGGGAGACTGGCTAGAGATGCTGGGATGGATATTAAGTTCTCAAAAGCCTCTATTTCCAGGTGCATCCAGCCTCCCTGTTTGTTGGCTGTCTCATTTCTTCACTCTTAGGTCCATGGGAAGCCGTATACTGAAAATATTTCTCTCTTTCTAGGCTGTTGTCGGAAGGTGTAGATGTCAATGCAAGGCACAAACTTGGTTGGACAGCACTTATGGTGGCAGCCATCAGCCGAAACGACAGGTGAGAGATCTCCTTTTACACAGGGTTCCCTCGGCCACAGCTCTGCAGATCACATTCCTGAATCCTCTCTCATGCTTGCCTGTCCCCTTGCTGTCTTCTCCAGAAGCAAGAAGGTGAACTCAGCTAAAGGGAATTGATCTGTATCCAGTGCAATGGAAAATGTAGGAGATGTTGAGAGGGAGGATATAGCTGTAAATTCCAACTCATTCGCTTTGTGACCTTAGATAAGTCATTTGCATTACTGAAGCAACAAAATGTTTGAAAGCCTGTCAATAAATGTAATTTTAATAAAAGAAAGAAGGCCTGTTGTAAGCAATTAAGTTAAGTGTACCTGTGTGAGTTATCCACCATCTATCTGTGTTGAGAAGTTGACAATCTGTTCCCAGCAAGGGTTTCTCTGGGTTATTTCTTTGGAGGTTCTAATGGAAATTGGGGAAGGTGGGGGCATTCCTGCCCTCCCATTGGAGGCAGGCTATTTTCCTACCTGCTTGTTCATTCCTTTAAAATGTAGCTGTTGTGTAAAGATCTAAGTTGTACTTTGTATAGAGAGTTATTGCTAATTCTCACAAAATATATGTTATTCTCATTTTGGAGGAAAGAAAAGTGAAGCCCAAAGAGATACAGTGATTTGTTTAAGGTTACACAGGCAGGATTTAGGACCTGGTCAGCAGCCTACAAAGTCTGTGTGTTTTACTATATATTTCTCACTGCTGCTTCCCTCTGCCAGAACCCAGGCTAGAGATGGGTGCTGCCTTTCCATCCCACTCTCTAGCTGTGAGTGTGCAAAAGAATTGATCAAATAAGTACAAAAATAAATGCTTTTAAAGAGAGTGATCTACTCTAGTAGTAGCCACTGAAAATGATAGTTGGGGTTACCAATTTTAATTTTCCCTTCCAGCAGACCTTTATCTGCTGGTCTTAACCACCTTTGGAAAGGTCATAAATGTGATGGAAACCAACAAAACAGGGATTTTATAATATAGAGGCGACACTGCCTCAGACTGCCTGAGAGACTTAGCTGTACTTGAGATAGGTCTCTCCTCTCTGCTCTTCTGTTGTGAACTTGTTCTCAGCACAGGAAAATTCATAGGATCACGATCAAACACTCCATTTCCTTATTTGCCTTTAGCTCCTAGCACTTAGTCTTTTAAAAGAAAAATTGATGTAAATGGGCTTTGCAGTTGAGAGACCTGGAGTCTAGTCCTGGTCCTGACCCTTAGTTGAGTCTCAGAATTCTAAGGACATTGTTTCTCCACCTGAAATTAATCATTTCTACAAGCATTTGGTACATATTTACTCTGAGCCAAGCTCTGTGCTAATCACTGGGTAATCAGAGACGTTGGGAGCTCATGGCCTAATGTGGGGAAGAAGGCAGGTAGAGAATATAGTGTAATCACTGATGCCAGAGCAGAGTGAACAGGATGTTATCGAAGCAGAGGGTGTGAGAGGACTGAATCTGGCAACAATAGATTCTCACTATGTGCTCGTGAGAATCAAATGAGATAATATATGTGCTACAGGTTACAAATGGTGTGTTGTTATTCTCTGCTCACATAGACTTCTCCATGCAAAAATATACATTTATTCTCACACTGATACTCCACCTATCACAGCTTCCACCCTACATACCAGTCTTTCCCAGCTTGCAGGTGTCTCCATCTGTAAGAGACAGACAGTGGTGGAGAAAAGGGGTTGGGAGGAGTGTGCCCTTATGTGTAGTATGTTTTCAATATTGAAACAATTGCAAATAACACTATACTTAAGGGTACTGTCCGTCAGTGAGCAGGTAGCTAGTAGTGATGTGCTTTGGGGACACTTCTTTCTGAATCTAATGAGTTGTTGGTTTAACTGATGGCCTGTCTTTATCCAGGGTCATTAGCACATCAGTGATGCTCATTGAGCAAAGTGAGAGTGTTGGCTTCTATTTATTTGCTTTGGTTCCTAGAACTAATTATTGGTGTATTAAGTGTTCATTTTGTGCCCTCCTCTTCCTTCCAGTACCCAGAGAAGATAGATTTTTAGTGAAAATAGCATACTCTCAGGTTGGTTTATTTATTCATATCACAAATTTTGGGGGGGGCACCTATTGTTTGCCAGACACTGTTCTTGACAAAGATTCCACCTTCATAGAGCTTATTTCTATACAGATAATGGTCCCTGAGTAGAGAGAGGCAGGGACAGACAATAAGCAAATATAGTGCATTGGTAAACCACATAATTTATTAGAAGGTAAGAAGTGCTTTGGAAGAAAGGAAAAGTAGAATCTGGTAAAAGGGAATCTCAAGAGTACATTAGTAAGAGTGAGTAGGTAAGGTATCCTGGGAATAGTCCTAAAGAAGTATCACTTTCCATACCAGCACAACCTGCCAGTAAAGTTTTTCTTTATTGGCGGTGTGCTGATGTTATAACCTAACCAGTCACCAAACCCTCTGGAATCATATTGGGCAGGTTTGAAATGCCACCACCTTTTAATTGAGTGTGGATGAAGGGAAGGTGGTGGAGTAGCCCTTGATTCAAAGCTTTTAGCAGAGAATTGTCAACTTTAGAATATTGGCAGTCACAAGATCAAGGGAGAGATCCTGAAAGTAGCCCAATCATTTCATCCTTAACTGCCTTTATTGCCTTTAGTGAGCACTTGCTTAATATGTTAAATTCTTAGGGACATAGAACAGAACAGTCTCTATTCTTAAGGAAATTAACTTCATGTGAACTTTTATTTATGTATGTATTTGTTATCTTACTTAATTTTGAATAGTACTATTTTATTTAAGTTTGAATAGAGAATACAGTGCTATAGAACAAAATTTAAAAAGTCTATATGAGAACTTAATTTATAATTTATTTCTTCCTTTTATTTCCAGAAAGGGTTTGAGGTGATGTAAATTAAAATACAAATAAAAATGTACACAAGAGAGTTAAACTGGATCAAGATCAGAAATCATATTGGTAAAAGGAAAGATAATTGTATCAGGATTGAACCAGAGATTTTCTTTTCTGAAAATAGGTTTATTGTTTTTGTAAAAATAATATAGAAGAAGAAAGTAGCAGTGAACTGAATTCCCTTTTAGAGACTGATCATTGTGTGTGTGTGTGTGTATATGTAATTTTACAAAAATGGGATCCTGCCACACTCACTGTAAATCAGAGAATTAGTGAAATCAAGTATTAATTTAGATTGGAGTTCTCCAATGAGCATGGCAAACAAGGGACATAGAGAGTTTGGTTCTTCAGGAAAGGGGAACTTTGTTCTGACCTTCCTTCATATTATCATTTCATGTAACCAGTAAACATTTTTCAAACTATACTGTGTCAGGTGCTGATGTGCCAGGCTATGAGGAGATTCAGATAATAAGCATCACAACCTTTGCCTTAAGCTTATGGGCATGCTGACATCAAGGACTTGAGTAATGTGATGGTCATTGTCTTCAGTAGCTGTTTTGTGTTCAGTAGCCGTTCTGTCAAAGGTTAACCAACATTTTCACTAGGAAAATCCTTTTGCCAGCCCTCTCCATCCACAGTGGGCTCTCCATAAGCCTATGCCACAGGCATTTATTTAACCTAAGTCTGGGTGCCTCATTCTGTGTTGTCCTCTAACCCAGTCCAGCTAAAGGCTAAGCCACAGGGTCCCAGGATGATCACTGTGAATTAGCATAGCCTTTACCGACTCGTGCAAATATACCCAGCCTTGAGTTAAATTCAATTAGTTTTTCTTTAAGAAGGGAAAGAAATCCAATTTTATCAAACATGGACAGACGGTGGAAGGCACTTTGATGTTACAACCTCTCAGTGATGCTTTACTTAGTCACAAGTTCATAAGCAAGAAGGCTTAATTACTTGGGAAAACACAGCATTAAAACTGGATACAATGGCTGAGTATCCGCTCTTAGGTGACTTGATTCGAACCCATGCACCCAGTTCGTGTGTGGTGCAAACTTTGATGTGTGCTATGGCAAGCCGAAAGTCGTCACCCCGCTCAGAGAAGCTCCTTCACATGGCATTTGTAGGATGTATAGGCAGAGAGGCAGGGCCTGCCCCAGGCCTGTTTGCTCAACTTTGATGTCCAAGCAGCCACAGGCTCCACTGTTTGCTCTTTCACTGAGGGATGGATTGGGAGCCTCCTACCTTTCCCAGTGGACAATGGCCAGCAATGGAGTGTGACGACTGTTGACCATTCCGGGAGCCTGGCAGACCAGAACAGGGCTTTGGGAGGTGCAGAGCCTGGGAGGTCAAAAGCTGTTTCTTGGAAAGCCATTTCTCCAAATGTAGCTTTCCTTAACACTTAATGTTAGCTGGGTGTTTATAGTGGAAGTAAAAATAGTCTCATGAGTTTTAGCAGGTGCCAAGTGTATTGTTTGATCCTCTGTCCAGCAGCACTAGGTATCTGTAAATTGAAAGTTTAAGTCTTTCCTATTCCCTTTATTCATGTGTGTGCAGGGGATAGTGGTTTGGAAAGAAAATGGTATGATTTAGATTCTTATCATTTCTAATTGCTCAAAAAAGAAGCTATCAAAACACATCTGATAAAGGAATGTATCCAGAAGATACAAAGAACTCTTATAAATCAGTAAGAAAAGGAGAAACAACTCAATTTTCTAAAAATGGACAAAAGATTTGTGCAGACATTAAAAAAAAAGAGATGGGTGGTAAAGCACGTGAAAAGATACTCAGCTTTAGTCATTTAGGGAAATGCAAATTAAAATCATGAGATACCTATTAACTACAATGGCTAAAATTTAGAAAAATTGAAAATACGAAGTGCTGACAAAGTTGCAAAACAATTGTCATCATTGCTGATAGGAATGCATTATGGTATAGACACTTTGGAAAACACTTTGGCAGTTTCTTACAAAGATAAAGGCAGTTTGTTACCATACAACCCAGTAATACCAACTCCTAGGTACTTGTCCATAAGAAATAAAAACATACATCTGCAGAAAGGCCTATATGTAAATATTTAAAGTAGTTTTATTCCTAATCACCAAAAACTAGAAATCACCATA